AAAACAGTAACTCCTCTGAGTGGCAGACCGCCTGTCCATAAGCACTTGCTGCAGTGGGAGAAGACACTACATCCGCAGACCAACAAGCTTGGCTCTGTGCCTGCAGAAAAGAATGACAGCACAGCTCCAAGCAACAGTACAAACTAAAACATCACAAGCAAACAACTCTGAGTGACAGATATCCTCTGGGCGCATCGCAGCAGGTCTCACCACGTCCACTTCTTCCTTTCAAAAATATCGCCATAATCGATACAACAAATCCCATCCAGATCTTGCAAACACCGTCGTCCGTAAAAGAAATCCTAAGTGTCACACGCGCTCGTCACGTCGACTTGCCGCAGAAGAAGCGACCCGCGGAGCCTCAAGAGATGTTCTCTAAGTTGCATGACAACAGACAGCTCCAAGCAACACTGCAAACTAAAACATCACAAGCAAACAACTCTGAGTGACAGATATCCTCTGGGCGCATCGCAGCAGGTCTCACCACGTCCACTTCTTCCTTTCAAACATATCGCCACAATCGATACAACAAATCCCATCCAGATCTTGCAAACACCGTCGTCCGTAAAAAAAATCCTAAGTGTCACACGCGCTCGTCACGTCGACTTGCCACAGAAGAAGCAACCCGCGGAGCCTCAAGGTATGTTCTCTAAGTTGCTTCATGCACGAAGCAAACTCAGGCTATACGACAAAGCCAAGCTTCGCGCGGAAGCCATCCGGTGTGATGGTCCATTGATTCAAAAGATGCTCGTTGACGATCCTGATCAACGTATGACCTCCACAGCCATACTTGTCTGCTCCCATCTTCAAGTGCTTCCCACCTTCATGCCAACATTTCTCGAACGTGGGATGAGTAATTCTGGTGGACTCCACATCCAGATCAATCAGGTACCAGCTGCTGGTTCTTGGGTTCCACGTCACATTGTCCATGTGCATATCGACGTACCAAGGAATACCTTTCTGGAAAGCTGCGTGACTCATATCGACCAGCTCGCAGAGCCACTTTTTCACCTCCACGTCGATCGCCTCATCCGATGCAGGGGAGTCTCGTAATAGTTGCAGACGTCTTTCAAACGTCTCTCCTGCATCCGACGATTCACCTGTCACTGCTGCAGCCAACAAAGCCGGTAAACGAGCCAACAAGGCCCCCGGGGCTGAAGAACACACTGCAGGATCGACTCGTCCCTGCCGTCGCAGTGTCTCGAGGAAGATCAGACTTGGCCACCTATCAGTCATTCCACCTTCCAAACGACTGACAACAGAGTCATCGCACTTCCTCCAGCCGCTTTTCTGTCTCACATAAGCAATGAAATGACCTGCGTGAAATTCCACGAAACCTGTCACAATGTAGCACACATGGCGACGGTCCTGGCACGACTCGCAACCACAAGCACTCAGCAGAACCCCCCCGACCAAACAAATTCAACAGTATCAAACGAACCTTAACACCACATCTGGTTTCGTTCTATGTGCCCGCGGCCTCTTTTCCAGACTGAGCCAGTAGCTGCGTCCAATCGATCGAAGCGCCCTCCCGATTGCCATCCAGTTGCAGAATGACGGCATCCGCGTTGGGCCAGCCCTGTGGAAAGTTGGCCCGCATCACCTCTTCCACAGTGATTGCCCGATGCTCCACATCCATCGGCATGCTGGTCATGATGTACAAACCCTCAGCGTGTTCGATACCACCTGCCACGAGGATTGCACCACCATGTCTCAACAAGCAAACAGAATACGTTCTTAAACGACGAAGTATCTTTATTCACACGTGCAGTTCACTTGTTAGACATATCCCGTGTCCATCCCCCTCTCCCCTCTGCCTGTGGCTTCCGGACTGCTCACATATAACCCGCAGTCACTGATGCAAGTCTCAAGCAGGATTTCGAGGCAGTCACTGCAATCTGCCGATTCTCCAGGTGGAAATTTTACGGTATTGGTCAAATAGATCTGATTCAGTAGAGCATACGGAGCGATACAATCGTACTTCTCGCTCCGCAGCCGTTGCGTCAGTTCTTCCATGCATGTCCGCAACTGTCCTTTCCGCAGTGTTTGCGACAAATCCCTGCGCAGAGGCTGACACGCGACCATGCACTGAACAACAGCGTTCAAATAGCACGAGTTCCCCAGATTTCGCAGGCCAGTCTGCCAAAACCGATCTTGCAACCCAAAAGTGTCACGAGGGCGACTGCCGTACTCCAGCCTCAGATGCACACCTTTCTCCCACAACCATTCCGCAGAAGCTTGCTGAGCAAAATGCTCCATCTCTAGGTGATCCTGTACTAGCAGCTTTGCTGCATCGAACAGCACCTCTTGTTCAGAACCCTTTATCACACGACGCATCCGCGTCTTCAATGCCCTGGAAACCCCTTCCATGTCCGAGGTGGAACCTTGTCTCAGCCAGTACGACATGGCTTCAAGCACTGCCTTCTCCAAAGACATTTCTGACAGCCCCCTCTCCCCCTTCAATCTCGTTTCCGCAGCTTGCAATGCTGGAATGGAAATGTCAGCAGCTGCCAGCAAAGTCTTGGCATCCTCCAATGCTTCAGGTCTGCCACTTCGCAGGGGTCCAAAGTATGTATGTCCTTGCTTATTGAAACGCACACGAAAACGGTCCTGGAACTTTTCGACGCACTCTTCCAGCCGGGATTCTCTGGCGTCCCATTCCGTGGACGCAAACAACTGCCTGATGACTGCTTCAATGTCAGCGCCTGCACTGCGCGCAGCTTCCAGCTGTCGCTGATCTGCTTCAGCCGCTGCCAGCTGCTGTCGCGATGGACCCACATGTCTCCTGCCGGCACCTTGAATCCGTGCCCGATAAACAGAGCCACGAATTTCCACACCCATGGCTCTGCTACGTGCGGTTTGCAACCAAAAGGTGTATAGAGATAGATAATCGATGTATGCCGGACTCTATCCTGAACAGATGTTGGTTAGATTTCAGATTTTCCTCCATATGCGTGATATTATCTGCTATGTGTATAATCTCATTACTTGACTGTATATGTCCCGAAAAGTTCGTCACGTCGACTTCCCTCCGGAACCCGATAACATTTCCACAACAAACTATTCTCCTAGTGTGCTTGCTCGTAACACTGCATGCTGCCGCTGCGTCGAAGCTGTGGTTGCGTCGCTACTTCGCATGCAAGTTCCACAACACATACAAGCTAAGATCTAACCAGACTGAGCTTGACTGAAGTCTGTTGTACGTCCTTGACTGCAGTGAATTGCGTCGCTGTAAGCCGTCTAAGGTCACACATTCAGACGGTCACTCTCGCTCTGTCCCTGCACTTTGAGTGAGTCTTGCTGCGTCTGGCCGTGTCCCGTACACCACAACCCAATCAGTCTCTTTCCGTCATGCTATCAACACATGCCGCAGTGACTTGTCTGCAGCCAGACCTGAACAACATTCTTCTTTGTGATGAACGCTCGACAGACCAAAACACCCCTGTGTGTGTATAGGCTCGGAAATGTAACGACGCTCGTCACATCGACTTACCTTCAAAATCGTGCAAAAAGGTTGAGGCCATGGCGCGATGACTACTCCGCAAACAGACCTGAACAAGATTCTTTGTCATGATATTTGGACAGACTACATGGCCTCGCTTCTAGCTGTCACACTTGTGCATATGTACCACCAAAATCATTCAAACAGATTGAGGCCCGGACCTGCGCAGTAGAAGTGCTCTTCGCGAAATTCCACACCAGTCAAAATTGAAACTACACAATCGGCTGCATATACTACTGCAACAACTGCTTGGCATGTCTCGGATGTGTCAAAGCAACATCTGATTCAAACATCAAAGTAAGTGAAGCACCAAAATCTGGTCGTGCGAAGTCAAACCACGTGAAGCCAGACCCTCCAAGATACTCATTTGCATGAGGAGTGTGTGAAGATGCTCATTTGCATCAGGAGTGTGTGCAGATGCACACGCTTGGAGAGTGTGGATGGTGATCTGTTGAGATGATGTGAGTGGGAGAGGTGAAGAGGATGATGTGAAGCTGTATGTGTGTGAGGATGATGTGAAGCTGTATGCTATGTAGATGTGAAGAGGATGATGGTGAGTGGGAGACTAGCGGCACCAGCGGCGACAACGCGCGGCGCAGCCCCTTCTGGAGGCTCTGGATACTGCGCCTGCCACGCGGACGGCAGCCAGCGGCACCAGCGGCGACAACGCGCGCCGCAGCCCCTTCTGGAGGCTCTGGGTACTGCGCCAGCCACTGCGGGTGTGAGATGTCACAAGAAGGGCGAATAGATGAAGTTGTGAGTGGATATGTGAGATGAGAAGAAGTGTGTGTGTGTGTGTGTGTCAGATGATGAGATGACAAGCTGACGAATAGATGAAGTTGGGAGTGGATATGTGAGATGAGAAGAAGTGTGTCAGATGATCACAATGATCACAAGATGATTGTGTATGTAACAGAAGGGAAGGAAGGAAGGGCGGGCGGAGGGAAGGACGGAAGGGCGGGCGGAGTCGGGCGGGATGGCAGCCAAAAAACTAGAACCCCACACAGAGATGTGGGGAAAAGCCCACATTTGGGAAAAAGAGCATGAACAAGGAATAGAGGTACTGAACTAAGAACTCTCCCCTTGTTCGTTCACTTCTCAAATGCTTCATTTCGAGTGCCCCGAGAAAAACACACTGAATAGTGTTGAACCTGTAGGACTTCTGTAGGACTTCCCATCAAGGCAATCAATGTTAAGTCTCGATCCCTTTCGGTTCCCTAGTGGAATGATCATATGTTTCCTTGTTGATCAATAATAGTACTCTCCCTGAAATTAACATGCTTACGTGGCTGGCACCACCTGTTTGTAGTGGATGGAACATGGTCTTCCTTTCGGGGCCAGGCCATCCACGTAACCATGTTAATTTCAGGGAGTGTATATGGTTGTTTTGCAAAAAGAACAGAAACACCACGTCACGTGTCCATCCACCTGCCATTTGATCCCAAAAGGTATCTCCGACTGACCCCTACTGATCCATTGACCACGCCAAAAACCACGCCTGGTCCGACGACTTCCCCTGGCCATGGCGCTTCCCGGCCTGGGGGCGAGGTCCGTCAAGGCGAACGGCGACCCGGTTTTTCCCGGTCTGTTGAGTGGAGGCTCAGTGCAGTGGGAGGAAGTGGCGGAAACGGCCCCAAAAACGCACCCTGAAAACCGTAATTAATTAATAAACAAAACCTTCGAAAATGGTAGATGGCGTTCAACACATTCACGTAGCGGCCTTGCGCCATCTCCTGCAAAGAAAATTCTGAGAATGTAGCGTAGACCACCTCTCTCTCCAGCGAGGGCTTCTTCATTGCCCTTCCTTTTTCTGTTGGTGTTCATTTTTTCTGCTTTCTTCACTCTTGAACTCTGTTTCTCTCTCCTTCTCTCTTATTCTCTCTCTCTCTCTCTCCCCCCTTCCTTCCTTTCAGGGCGAAAAAGACCCCGTAGCGGCTTTACACGAAACTGAATGTAAAGTAGATGGCGCCAAACCCATCACAATGCTTCCCCTAGCTTGTGTTTCCTCTTTCGTTGTCACGGTTTCGCCTAACATGGCTTGAGCCATCTGCATCTTGCCTTTCAAGTTCGAGAGGCATTTTTGTATGCAGAGTAGATGGCTCATTCAATAAAAATTGACGAATCTGAAGCATGGACCGCCCAACCCCCCGTCCATGATTCAACTTCTGCCCTTTGGCACCCACGGGGTGCTAAGAAAGCACAGGGCCAAAAAACGCATCACCAGCACCACCGCCCTGTAAAGGAAGTGACCCCCAAGTGTCCCTGAGTTATCCTTTAAAGGTTGAGTGGGGATACTTGACAAGCCCAAGCATTTTCTGCATCATGTAGTGCTTCCTTTCTCCTATTTCCAGGAAAAGAACACATGAACGCAATAAATATACCTAATAGCCTGCTGTCCTGTTTGATGCTCGTTCCCCATGAGCCCGTTCAAAAATACTCTCCTTTTCTGTCCTCAATGTCTCCTTTCCCTCTCCTTTCATGGCCTTTCCCTTCCCGTCCTGTGTTTCGTTTCCTTCACTTCTCCTTTACCTTCCCTTCCCTTCCCTTTCCTGTTCTTTCCTTCTCTTTCCTTTTGCAGCATTTTCCTGTTGTTTCCTTTCCTTTCATCTCCTTTGCTTTCCAAAGGAAAAGGACAGTGGTCAGTGCCACAAAGAAAGAAACGAATGCAAGAAAAGAAAGAAAAGAAATGGTATGCCTGGTATGCCATCGCAAGAAAGACAGGTCCTTTCACTGAAACCATTCAAAGCTCGTCATTGGAAAGGTGGCTTGCGCCATATTGGCACTGTTTCCCCTAGCTGTTTTTCCCTTTCATTGTCACGGTTTTTCGCCTAACATGGCTTGAGCCATCTGCATCTTGCCTTTGGGGTTCCAGAGGTGTTTTTGCCTGCAGAGTAGATGGCTCATTCCAGAAAATTGTGCAATGTTCTTTTCGGGCAGAGTATTATAAAACATACCCTGGTAGTTTGGTAGAAAATGGTTGCCAATTACTTGTTGGTCGAGTTTCATCCCGGATACCCCCTGTGCCTTTATCCCTCTTCTGAAATAGCCTGGCATTAGTTTAAGTTGTGACTAAACACTCCATGGATTAGGCTTGGAACAGAAGTTCCCTCAGTATGGCTGGACTAAGGCTCTTAAAAACAGCACTGAAGTATACTGAAGTTCCCTCAGGCCTCTCAGATGCCCCAAACCCCACCACCACTCCGCCCGCTCCACCCCCAACGGCGGGACGGGACGGCGCCGTTTGGCGGCCTCGAAGTGCCCGCTGTAGCTCGAGGCGCCGTGGCGCTCCTTGCACGAACGTGGCGCACGGTGGTCGATGGAAGTATACTGTAAATGATCAAACAGATACAGTATATAAGTATATGTGCATGATCAAACGAATGTTGAATGATACCAAGAATGTATCAAAATACCTTTCAAATACATACATACCACCTTCAAAGGGGTCACCTGGCTGAAAGCCCAACACTATCTAGGGATCTCCATTGGACACCCCTTTGAAGGTCCAGGTATATATTTTGTGTTTTACTGATTTTTCCTATTGAATGAATCTGCAACCTTGCAAGTCCTTGAGTTGAAGAACGAATCAGCTCAGGTGCCCGACCGGGGGTGTCCGACACGGTTCAGCTCGTTGGTTCCTCATCTCCGACCTTTGTGTGGTAAAGACTAACACTGCATAGTACGACCTCCTCCCAACAGGTTGTGGTTGTATATGGGGGTCATGGCACCGGGAGACCCTGGTTGACCACCCACCGAGTGGATGAACAGACGAGCACTAAGGGAGGTCAACCAACGCTCGGGGCTTTGACCCATAGACCAACCTTCAGGGCTCGGGTGCCCTGCACAGGCGACCATCAGGTGCTTCACTGAGAACAGCGACTCGAGTTGTGTACGGCACAAGGAGTTCTTCTTTGGTCAAATCGGTGCTGATCGTGTGGACCTAGACTAGATAGTCTAAGTCACCCTAGTCACAATGAGAAGCCACCCTCAAATCATACAATATACAAGTTGAACATACATCATACATACATTACTAGATACTAGTTTGATGATCATACATCCATGTATGTAGAAAATACATAAAAATACCAGTTTTATCATACATACATGTCATCTACCCTGCCTCGCACGACATTGTTCATGATCGCAACCAACCGACCGATCAAAGCACCCAACCAACCCGCCTGCAGCTCCCCATAGCCATGCCGGAGCCCTGCTTCGAAGGCACCATCATAGGTCATGCCCTGCCGCTATCGAGGCACCACGGCGACCGTTGAAAGCATCGGGTTTGTCCACACCGGACTGTCACGTGGTGTTACCACCGGAAGCTTTCCAATAGTCCAATTGCATCGGGATCACTAAGACTGCAGCTCTGGAAAATGGATGAACATCATGCCGAAAAATCCTGCCAAGTCCATTAAGGTGGATCACTATTAAAAATACTGCAGCTCTGGAGATCGGTATCACATCGGTCTGTCACAAAGTGCGACCTGTGCAAAGAAACGCCCATGTTGAGGGCTGTCTCCCCGGGATTTCATGATCAGTGCCTTGCAAAAAACGGTTGACACTTGTATGTTTCATGGTACAATTACATGATTTAGAATCCCCAAAACTACAGTACCCCCCCCCCCAAAAAAAGGTGCTCTCCAGAAACACAATCCAACTAACCCCAGAAAACAGCCGCCCAGGAAACGTCCCCACAAAACCCGCTCGTCCGTCCCGCTCGTCCGTGCGTGCCGTGCCGTGCCGTCCGTGCCTGCTTGGGCACCTCGTGGCGTCCGTGGCCGTGGAAGCGGTGCGCCTGGAAGCCGCCGGTGTACCTGGTTGGGGGTCGGAGCGGTGCAGCAGCGTTTTGGGACCGGTGGAATCGTCACCAGCGTGGACCAAAAGGCAGAGGCGGGGATGGCGGGAGAGGCAGGTTTTTGGAGTGTGTCGGTATGGTCCGTGTCAAATTGAAAAGCATCTGTTTGCTGGTGAATGTTCAACAAAGGCCAAGACTGGGGGGTTGGCACCCACGCCGAAGTCACCGCAATGTATACAGGTCCCATCAGGTCCACCCACATAGACTTAGACCTGCATGGATGCAGGTCCTGTACATGCACCCAGCAGGTCCTTTTCCTAAGGCAGCAGCCCATTGCACCAACGTCATTCCCCCAAGTCACCGCGTCGAGCCGAGCACGGCCAAACGGCGAGGGTCCCCCCACCTCTCACCACTGGGAAGCTTCAAGGTGCCCTCGCCAGAGTACTTGCCCTGGAGGCCAGCGTGTTCTTGAAAGAAGGGAGAAGGGATGGTGTCGAAGCGTTCCTGGTCCCTTTGTCTAACAGATTTTAAGGGGAGTTAGCAGTTAGCAGATCACCTTGGCAGTATGCGGAAAAGGAGTTCAGCAGCTCAAGTCTGGCGCTTGCTAGGGAGAACAAGTCCACATTTACCAGATCACAGAAGTGACTTCATGAGCTCTGAGGAAGCTTAGTAAGGCTTATAGTACGAGCTTTCAAAAGAGGTCGGATCGCAGCACCAGGCAGGTGTCAGGTGTCATGTGTCGGTCCCTCATGGTCCCTCCAAACAGGCAGTCCGCGATTCTCAAGGCCTGACCAGTCTTGGAAGCCCCGCGGACTACACATCTGTTACTTATTTACAGTCGACATGTGGTTCATTCATCCATTCTCGCTAGGCAGTGCGGCTACATAACGTGTAACTGCATGAGCATTTCGATCTTTAAAAAAGAAAGTCAAACCCAAACTGGATGTCAAACAAAAGCAAACCATGTACAGCATGCTTTCATATCCTCTCCACCGGAACCTCCGGATGTCTCATTCAGTTCCAGCAGTCTGTCCAGTCGCTCGGTCGTTGGTCTGCCGTCCTGGCTCCAGCCACCGGTGTAGGTGCCACCATCAGCTTTGTTCAGGGTGCCCTCACCATGCTTCTGACCTGCGAGCTCTGGATGTCCCTCCTGTCTCCAGCTCCATCGCTCAGGTGTCCCCATCTCACCCCCTGGGACCACCTGCCGTTTTGGTGGAAACCAGCGGAGAGCAGGTGAGAATCCAAACCAGGCCTAGGAACCCAAGGACTGTTGCTGCCTGGTCTGGATAACACGTTGTCTTGTTTCAATAGTCTCACAGCTGCAGCTTGGGACTAGATGTCCCCTTTATTCTTTGAAGCGCTCAATGGAAAAATAAAAAAAAAGTAAAACGCCCTGGGACAAACACCGACAAACCAATGGTTGAAAATGCATCAACATGTATCTGAATGGATCCAGTTTGTGGACAGCATTCTAAATTTGGTGGTTTTGTCTTTGTCATCTAAGATATGTCTACCGGAAAAAAATACAAACTCAATCAGAAGCTGTCTCTAAGGATCTCTAAGGTGTGTCATCGTGAGTCTTTCTCTTGTGCCTGTTTCTGCCTCACTGTCCCGTAGAAAAAACTCACCTGGCCATTAACCCTTAGGAAACAAACAGCATGAAACCTAGTAGATGGACAAGTTCTCCATAGTCCCTCGCGTCGCCTCACATTCTTTCCACTCTGTTTATAATAGTAATTAATTAGGCTTTTGCAGTCTCTCCAAGATATCCCAGGAATGGGCCACAAACAGTGAAAACACCTCACAAACAAGCGGATAAACTCCACCCTCCAATCACCCTCTGCCCGCACCCGAGGATTCCCGCGGAGACCCGAAGGATCCCGAGGCCTTGCAGAAACTGTCCCTCGTAGCTCCAGCCATTGAGCTCTTGTCGCCCGAAGCCCGAGATCTCTCCGCCCTGACGAAGGAGGGAAGAAAGAAGCAGATGCCGATTTCGGCATCGTCGACTCCAAAAATTTGCCAAAAGGGAAGTGTCCTCCTCTCTACCAGGTGAAGCGGTGAAGACTCAAGACCCGCCACTTGCCCCTCCTAGGTGAAACGGAAAACCTCGTCCCACTGACCCAGTTGGATCCGGTTGTTGTTTCATTCTTGAGGACTGCGGGAGGAGATGTGAAGTGTGCCAAGACCGCCATCCAATAAGAACAGCGGACTCAATGCACAAGTACAGCGGGCTCAATGCACAAGCTGCGCACTTGGACGTTATTGTGTTGGAGCTGGAGCTTTACGCTAAAGACCAGCAGTCCAGACTCAAGACTCATCAAGACCTCGCTGTGATCCTCTCGCATGAAGGGGCCATCACCACGTTTATGCCTATTAACACGCCCAACATCGCCCCATCATGCCACCGGCGCACCAAAGATCTGTTAACAATCTGACAAAGCAGCGTGGTGGCTCTCCTATCCTGCAGGTACAAAGCCCAAATCCATCCCAAACGTTGACCCAAGATAGCACAGTGTTGGGGCAAACATATGGGTCTAGGCTGTCTAGGTGGGTTTTTTTCGTGCACTCCGTTCACGCGTCCTCGTTGGCATCCCGTTAACAGGGGCTCCCAACACGGCTCTCTCGGTCGAACCTCAAAGCTCCCCTCGTAGAAGCCATCTTCGCCGAAGCTCAAGCGGCCCTCGAGAAGCAGAGACCCGAACCGCTGGGGGACGTTCTCCGTGATAACGGCGCCATAGGTCGAGGAGTGGAAGTCTTCTTAGAAGAATCTCTGGTCCCTATAGCTGTCAGAAGCCACCTGTCAGGCTCGGATAACAAAATGATCAAAATGAATGATTAATGATTTTTCTTGTTGTCCTCAAATATATGTTTTAAAAAAGAAAACACTTGTAGAGAACATGGTCGTTGGTCACTTTGTCATCAATGCGGCTCTTCCGCCTGTTATTCAGATCCAGGGCAGCAGTGATGGTTTCTCTTCATTCATGTTCACGGACTATAGAGCACGGTTTTTCTGTATTCCGCTCGCTCGTCCTAGTACAAAAGAGAAATGAACAAAAGCTTCCAAGTCGAGGAGAGGCCTCATGAACGAGCCCTAGCGTACACATTCCAAGGAACGAAGCATTTAATTTGAGGACACTGGCAAAGGACCTTGTTCCACATCATGTCTCAAGTGCTTGAGGCAAGCGGTGTTGGGCAGAACCTTCGATCCAAGTTCGCCACCCAAGCAGGCAAACAATGCGGTGGTTCGCAGCAGCAAGGCACTGAAATGGCGGAAAAAATCTACAAATGTATAGAACCATCACCACTAATACCACCACCACCACCACAACAACAACAAATGCAACAGCAACAACAAGAAGAATGACAATAACAGCAATAACATATAGTAACCCCACACAACCCCACCAGATAGGGGTGAGATGGGATGTTGCCATAAGCCATAAGCCCACCACCAGGCCCCTCCGATTTGCCACCATCCCCTGCCTGGCCATGCTTCTTCCCATCCAGCCAATCACCTGACAGGGTCCAGTTCTCAGAGTTCACCGGAGCCGTCAGGTCGGTGCAGGTCACGTCCCCGCGCTACTCGCCAGGTCGGTGAGTCCCAAAGCGATCTTGAAAAGACAAGACTGGCCGCCAAGTCCGCCAGCAAGTCCGGGTCGTCTAAAAGCACAGATGACTCATATGACTCTTAAGGTCTTGTGGAATCCCTCAAGTTTCTCACCTGGAGCCCCTCAAGGTGACTGGATGGTGTTCTCCTTTCGCTTCCCCTCGTTCCAGCTACAAACTGGTTGCTTCGTCTGCAGGAAGGAGCACTCAGGTCACCATTGGAAGTAATTATGTAAAGTATAAAGAGTCATAGAGATATTTAAGACTTGGCATGTCCCACTTATGTTCTGAGAGGATTTGGTCCAACTGGAGGATAGAGTTTCAACCTCCGTGCTGACCATGGGCCTGTAGTACAACTTCATCACTGTCATCACTGCTAGTACCAACTATTGGATCTATTGGCAGGAACGGACTAGGCACTACACGAGGGACTGCTCTTGCGTGTCTTCATGCATGGTGGTCTGAGGGCAGCATTCAAGAGATCGGCTTCTGAATTGCCATGCTTGGCCCTGGTGGGTCGCGCCTTCATAGATGAAGTACGGGTTCGTGTAGTAGTAGGTCCCTTTGCCTCGAGCGACATCCGAAAGTTCAAAAAGGCTCCACAGTACTGGTCCCAGAATGACAATCGATCCTCAACTTCTCAAGGGACAAATGGAAACTCATCCCTAGTTGACGATATCATCTAAAGGGCAAACCCAGTAATCTGCGAATCTGCCTTCAGAAGTCCATCTATGGAGGTTCGAAGTCCGTCGCAATGGCTTTTTTTCCCGAGTGGACCACCTACTAGTTTCATCATCAGTATCCAGTAATATCCAGTATCTCTTCCATTGCTTCATGAATCCAATGTCACAATGGGTGCAGGTTCAGTTCGTATCTCAAACAGGTATCGGAGGAAGGTGCTGCCGGTCAAACCCGCTTTTTCACTGTTGTTTCTCACCACGACCCCGCCTCCACTTGCCCACCGATCACCGAGACCGGAACCGATCGATCCCAAGGACCACGTGCCTTCTCTTTGGCCAGTGGCGATCGAGACCTCTCCCTGGTACCTGCCAACGTCACGGAGCAGCGATGGACAGCGATTGGCACCGCAACGTTCCAGGCCAAAGGGCACGAGACCCTTCCAGGCGAAAGGCAAAGGCTCCGTGGTCAAACATGTTTTTGCGTGTTCCTTTTTTTTCAGGGTGTGTTGCGATGTTTTTTCGCCCGACCCAGCTGCTCATGGTACTTGCAAGGCAAGGCCCGCGTGTTGTCTTCACCCGTCGATTCGATCAAAGACTCCAATTGGAAGATGTGAACAGTGCCAGAGAGTCCAAAAAAAAACAGGCGCAATGTTGCAGGATACAGACAGAGAGAATCATACTATGAGAGCACAATTGGTTCTTGACCATCTGTCCAATCATACCATCTCAGATGTGACCAAAACCAATTTCCGTTCCACAGGTGGACCATCAGTTTCATACCTTGGGGGGGCACCTGGCAGCACCGAAAAAGCACGCCACCCGCAGCCGTGCTTGGTGAAACACCCAACACAAGCTTCTTGATTCCCTATCATGTCGTCTTCACATCCAGGGCTGTGCATGGCTGCCAATAGAGATATTGAGCATAATTACAAGTGAAGAACCACGCAAAAGCATGCAAAAGCGCTCCTCTCAATGTGACTTCACACGTTCCAGCTCCTCTCTCCATGTCCTTTTAGCTCCTCCCCCACCGTGGCCCGCCTCGCCTGGCTCCCGCGTGGTTCTTGTGCCACTGCGCCAGGCGGATCGTCTTCCCCGTGGGGCTCGGGCTCAAGGTCTCCATCGGACGCACGTGCTGGACGCACTGGACGCTGGGAGTGCCAGTGCTGCGCAGGGCGGGGCGTTTTGGAGCGGGGAAGCGGTGAGGTGGGGGATCTGAGATTCTTTAGTTTTATATAACACATGCTGGTGCACAGATCGTGGGGCCGGTCAGTCGATGTGTTCAAAAGTGGCATTTGACCAAGCTTACTATCAAGGCCTGGAATTGGAGTGTTCTCTAATGTGGTTGGAAACTTGGAGGTTTATATTCCCTTAGTTGGTGACTCCAGGTGTCCTTCGTTCAAAAACATAGCCTCTTTGTTCAATCGGCCGACTGGGCAAAGTTGCTCTGGAACTGTTCTCTCTATACTGGTAGCTGTTTGATCTGCCGAGCCAAGAAACACCATTGGAGAGAAGAGTGTCTGTGAAACTGCCATGAGGGATTTGATTCTTGCACTTGTGCGACTGTAGCCCTGCCAAAAGTCCATGGAATCATACAGAAACACACCATCCACATAATGATTCCCTCCTGTTGCAATCACCAAAGAACCAACCATCAACCGCTCTCTTTTCTCTCCCAAAGCACACCTCACACCTGAACCACCCTCGTCACCCGAGAAAAAATAAAGAAACTTGTGACATTGGGCACAACATCTAGCTGGCCGGGATGGCACACCATGCGCAGCACATGTGGTCTCTTTACCACTTCTGAGCCGGAAGTAGCTTCGCTCTCGGGACGCTTCTTTTTTGATAAAGCCTCTGCCCATGTCTGTGCCCTGGCTTTCACACTGGACCTGCCGTTTCGGGAGATTAAAGGCAGGGCAAAAGGCCAAAGCAGGTCACTTGGAAACTGGAAGAAGCAGGCCGGCTTTGCAAGAACTTGGAAAACATAGCTCGAAAGATTTCCGATTGTTTTGTCATGTTATTTGCCTATAGGCCCAGGCAGCAACAGGATTCTGTTCGGCCTTGTCTTCAATAGCCAAGTCCATCATACTTGTGAAGTGTTGTCCATACAAGAAAGATAAGACCCCCTATCAACAAGCATTGCTCAAAAGTACCTGCGTTCGCTTTTACCCTGGTCTCATAGAAAAATACTATATTATAAATATAATATAACTCGACAGATTTGTGCCCAAGGCGCCTGCGGTATCGTGTCATGTGAAACATGTTCTACACTTGATCATAGCCATAAGGCCGTGAGGCATGTCTGCACAATTTCACTCCGGTCATCCTCTTGATGCCGTTCTGGGTTCAAATGGCTTTCTTTAGCCAAAATGCTCAATTTGGCTTTTGCCACAAAAAAACATGCTCAGCCGCAACAGCTGCTGCATTTGCCAAAGGCTTCTCTTGGCCTCACATGTTCGCCCTCTCTCAGATGTGGACATCCTTCTCGATGGAACTTCTTGCCAGTCTTCGTGATGAAGATGGCTTCCGGCAGCTCCAAGCTCTTGATGCGAGCCAGGTGTCTCATGATCTCCTGGTCTTTGAACTTGACCATCTTCTGTAGTTTCTCGATCTCGCCGGCCATCTCGGCGTTGTCTGTGATCCTTGGTGTCAGCGGTGCTGGTCTCTCCGATGATGCTGCTGTCTTTCTGTCCAGCTTCATCTTCAATTCGGCATTCTCATCTTCAAGCTTCACTAGTCCAGCTCTCATGTTGCTGACCGTAGATTCGAGCACCATTTTCCTTGCATTGACCACTGTCATGTCATTCTTGAGGTTCTTCAGCTCGAAGTCCTTGTCATCGTACTTCTCCTCAAGCTTCTCATATTTGTCTTTCCACCATTCATTGTCAAACTTGAGGCTGTCGATCTCCTGTTGTTGTAGATGTGCATCTTCTTCGCTTTTCTTGTTCTTTCGCTTCAGCGTCTCCTTCTCGTCAATGACCTTTCGTGCAAGATCTTCCCATGTGTCTCGAGGACTTGCTTTCCTCTTCCGCTGGAAGGATGCTCCTGAGGATGATGGTTGATCTCCTTCTTGATCGACATCCATGTCGTCATCGTCGTCGGACTCGATCTTTACAGGTTGGATTCTTCTCTTCTTGCTCATCCAACTTGTCACCATTCTCTCAAGCATCACCGCCAAAATCACCGTGATGAAAATCATGAGGTACACGGAGAAGTAGCTCTTCTGCTCTTGATTCTCCGGTTCATTGGATTGCGCATCCACCAAAGTTCCAAATGCTAAAGTCGGCAGCATTGCCGCCAGCATCTTCTTGGAAGTGGCAAACGCTGCCAGTCCCACAAGCACTGAAGCATGTGTCGTTCGCACCATGCTCTCATCCTTCTCTGCCTTCAGGATCATCTCCTCGTCCTTCAGCATAAGGTCGTGCTCGTCAAAGTCGATGGTCGGAAGAACCCTTGTCACAATTGGGTGCTTCTCCACTCCATGCAGTCTGATTAAACCTGTTGTCAACAACATCAGCATCATTTCATGGACCATGGACTTGGTGAGGGAATCGGCAAGCATGTAGTTCGTTGGGACCAACGTCACCATTCGAACTCTGCCATCCAATCGTGCTTCCTTTATGGACAAAACGTAGAGCCGCTGTGTCTTGTCCTGAGGCATCGTCTTGCTGCCTGCGATGAGCTCATAGACATCTCGAGCATCTCCATACATGTCCAAAGGCATCTCTGGATTTCCAGCTGTCTGGATCTTGATGAGGTCCTTCAATGATGGAGGATGTTGAGGATGGAGCATCTCGCTGAGCCTGATCATACACAATGTTGCAGATTCCAAGGCGTTCACCATGGCTAGTGTCTCACCATGTGATGTGCTGTAGCTCACCCTCTTGGCTTTTGCTCCATGTGAATGCAAAACATGCATTACTCCTCCATGCATGAGTTCATGCTCCTCAGTCTCGCAGGTGTGCTCAAAGTCAATCGTGATGTTCCGCCATTCGTCATCGGCCAAAGCAATGACTACACCTTCCTGGGCATAGTTCCGGCCCTTGCTGGCTGCCGAAGCATCATGAAAACAAACTAGTCGTCGATGCTTTGTCCTGAAGTAGCGGTAGTGCAAACCAACATCTGCAAACTCCTTCACCTTCATGAGCACATTGTTTGCCTGCTTCAAATCCTTGACCTCTGCTACTGTCACTCGTGATTGTAGTGCTGAAACATCCGCAATCACGTCCAGCCGTGTAGCTGTCACCCAAAGAAGTGCTCCTAGGATGGATCGCAGATCTGAGACTTCTGCTGGTGTCAATCTGGAATCATCTTCTCTTGCAGGGACAGGTGCAGGTGTAATCTTTTCTGAAAACTCCTGCTGGCTGATCATGTAGCCGTCTGCAGTACGAAGGTACTCACAACCACAATGAGTGAATGGCAATTGCTGTCGTGTCACTTTGCCAAACTTCTTGACAAAGGAATCATATGCATCGTCCAGCCACTCAGGCGTTCCAGTGATCGCCAAGTCATCCACATGCGTCGTGACCATTGCAATGTTCTCACCATCCTTCTTCCATGTCCAACAGTTCTCATCTAGGTGAGATGGTTCCGCGCCGCTTTCTCGGATGAAATCATGTAGAGAAAACTGCCAAGCCAATGGAGCGTCATTCAACCCATAAACAGGCTTCAAACATAGCAGTCCATAGTTGTGCAACTCTCGTTCAGGAACCTTGAACTCGTCAGAGAATTCCGCCAGATGTCGCCAAACATTAAGTGGAGGAAATATCACCACCATGCGGACAGGCGCTTGAATGCCTTTCTTCTGCAGGGTCTTTCGGATCTTCTCAAAGTCAAAGCCCTTGAGAAATGCTCCAGCAATGTCCAAGCTTTCCAGGCTCATCTTGCGTGACCATGATGCTCTGGATACCAGGATCCTTTGGCTTAGCCTTGTCGCAGTCGTTGACCTTGTCGTGAGCTCTCCTTTCTGTCCATCCAAACAACCACGCGCACAAAGTCGAGACTTGATGCGAATGCTCTTGTCAGGATAGCGCTTTCGCTTGCGAACCCACCGTGCATCAATCTGCACGTACTCTCCTGTGATCTTCATCTTGTGGATCTTTGCGAATGCTTCCTCGTCAACAAACTGCTTGATCTCGTTGCGATCAGCTTCTTCAACAGCAGGCCAAATGTCGGCCGTGATGTCTGCTTCTTCAATGTTGCGAGTCTCCTGATCTACCTGGTAGATCTCTGCAGTTCTGAGGCATGCGTATGCTTGATGCGTCCTTTTGTAGTGGAAGTGGAACAATTGAGGAAGCTTCTCTTTCTCCCGGAGATGTTGTTCCACCATGAACTGATTGCATACTTCTGACCACATGTGACAACCTGTCAACCAATCATGTCCACAATCGATCTGAATGATGTGGTTCTCAGTCATGTTGACATGCAGGTGTCGTAGAAAATCGAGCTCTTTCTTCACATTATATATGCGCTGCCTCTTCTTCTCGGGTGCCATGACCACTGTTCTGGTCTCTGGTGCATCTCTCTTCTCGCCTCTGTCATCGGGAACGTTGACGTCCATCTTGTCGTCATCCTTGTTGATGGTCGACTGACTTGCTGGCTCTTCCACAGGATCAGGATGATAGTGGAACAAGTAGATGGTGCACATCTCTTCACGAGAGTAGTTGGAAACCCTCTTCATCTTCAAGAATCCGTCGGAGAAGTGCTCTTGCACGGCGTAGCCTTGTCCTCCATGAATCCATGAGATGAGATGACCAACTGTGTTCGATGGAGGCTTGATGTTCCGCAAGCTTCGTCCAAGTAGAGCTCCATGGACTTGATGCTTGCTCAAACCTTTGTAGATGTGCTGCACCCACAACATGATCTTCGTTGCATGATCATCCTCACGAGGGAAGAATCGCCACTTGCCATTTCTCTTCAGCCAACCATAGATGTTCGTCTTGTATTCCGTGAGGCTTTCGACAAATCTCATCAACTTCCTCAAGGCATCTTCTGTCTCCATGTTCGGCAAGGTGAAGTGGAAAATGCCCTTATAGGATCGGATGTGTCTGAGTGCTACCAGATATGGCTTTCCTTGATATTGGATGATTGCCACACCATCATCAGCGTCCAATCGTAGCAACAAAGCAGGTCCACGCCAGCCAGGGTCGTTCTTCACCTCTCTGTAGAATTCAACCTCTGATGTGCCAGCAATGAGCTGGTCGAGGTCGAGCTGGTGTGTCCTGGTTCTGGCTGCTCGTGCTACACGATCTTCAATCACAGCTTGATGAGCTTGTGCAAGTGCTGTTTGCCGGATTCTCATCGCCTTCTCAAAGACAGTGACATCTGTCTCCTGGGCTCCAACAACACTCATAATGCCACGGCTCTCAGGATCATAGAAGCCATTTGGAAGAGTGCCAAACACTGCCATGGATGGTGTCACGCCACCGTAGGACAAGGTGATGTTGTGAGCCATGCAGCTCTCCTGAGCTATCTCTTCATTCTCTGGCGCGAGGCCTTGTCGTTGAAGTTCTGCTCGTAGCTTGTACATGGTGAGCTTCATCAGACCCACATGTCTTTCCACCAAGCCAGTGCCAGTGTGCTGTTCGGCTCCATGTCCTTGTGTTGTGCCACGTGGCGCACGCTCAATGGAGAGTCGTTCAAACTCTGCTGCAGTCTCATGTGACATCAAGGATACTTGTTGATCGAGAACAAGTCGCCGAGGTGGTCCAAATAGAAAGATCCATGCCTTCTTAAATGCCGTCAACAAATCGTCAGATTCTTGTCCTTCAATCGTCGTGCACATTTTGAAGCGAGTTGCTTCATCACAAAGAAGCATGAACCAGGTGTTCTCCCACATGAATAGGTCCATCTGTACTGATTCATTGAAACTGCTTGCTCCTCGTGCTCGAACTTGTGGACGATTGGGAAGTCTGACATACTTCCTGCAGATGGCACAGCATTGAACCGCCTCAGTCGCCAACTTGATGACTTCATGTGACATTCCAGCTTTCTGCAGTAAGTTCGTGAAGTCGGAGATCGGAGAATGCCAAAGCCGTTCGTGAAGACCAAGTAGGAGTTGCTTGACCTTCGTGTGGTTCTCGTCTTCCATGAGCTTCGGAATGCGAACCAACACTCTTCGCAAGTTGTAGTTCGGCTTCAATGGCTTGATCTCCTCAACTGACTTTGTCTGCAGTTCTTCATCTTCATAAGGTGCAATCTGAGTTGGATCTCGTTCAGCTGGGTCTCCTGGTCGATCGAGTACTACTGGAGGTGTCAAGGGTGCTCTCTTGAGATCAGCTATGCTCTTTTCATCCATCTCGTCGAGGTTCTGGGCAGGCTGCACGATACCAGGTTCCTCAGGTCTTGTTCTCGGCCTTGATGCTGGTGTTGATGGCGAAGGTGCCATATCGTGCTCCACTCCATAGATGGTGATTGCCCAGTCATCCTCGTCGAGTGCTGCGTTGATCTGGCTGAAACTCATCTCTCGCAAATCTTCTGGAGGGTGAATGTCCCATGCTTTCACATTGCCTCTCACTTGCATCCGTAGGTATGATGATGTCAATGGAAGCTTCGGCTCTGCTGATGCAAGATGGAAAGGTCGGAGTTCAATCTTCACTCCTTTGACTTGGATCAGGTCCTTGAAGAACTCCTTGAAGAGGCTCATGAGCATAGGATTGTCCAGCCAGTGAACATAGTCGATCTTTCTCCTTGCTGCTTCATTGAAGACACCCATAGTGGCATTGATGGTTTCGAGGAGGAGCTTCTTGAGCATGTGTGTAGTTGGCACGGAGAGCGCTTTGCTGGTAAGATTCTTGATCTCCACGCCCTCATAGAGCTCCGCCTCGGCTTCTTGCTTCCACTTCTTCATGGCATCCATTTCAGCTTCAAGCTTCTTCTTTCTTCGTGGATTTTCTTCAGATGGCCATCTTCCATGTCGACACTGTCCAGGCACCAAAGTGTGCTCTATGTTGCGAGGACAATGACGTCCAAGCTGGCATCGGACACAATCATAGTAGTGACCAAGCGTCACTGCGTAAGCATCATGTGGCCAAGTTTTCAGCTTGAGTAGGTTCATGTAGGCCAGGTACTGGATGATGTCCTGCTTCATGCGTTGGCACATTCCTTTTGGGTAGACTGCTGACATCGAAGTCCTGGTCAGACCAGATGGGCCTGTGCCTTTGAGCTGAGTGTGTGGAACACCGCAATGACCTCCGCATCGAAGTCCAGTGTGCTTCCAACGAATGTTGGATCCAAAGCCAGTGGGCTTCATGATGGGGTAGCCGTGTTCATCTTGAGCTCCATGCATGCACTGGTCCACTCTCTGTCTGCTCTTGTTGCCAGGAATTCGTTGCAGTCGTAGAGGATTCTCTGGAAGTTCTTGCCATGATTGTGCTCCATAAGGTTGTTCTATGTTGTAGCCACGGCCATTGGCATCTTGTCGTGCAGAAAGATCTTGACAGTGCTGGTCTATCTTGTAGACGTTCACACGTCTTCTCATCAGGATCTTTTGTAGATGCCGCAACTGACCATGGTGCACAGTCCGGAGACATGTGAAGCACTCCAGGTTGGAACTCTTCGTAAGCTGCGTGGATCATACCACGATGGCTTGCTACCCGCATAGCCCAGCCGTACCGGTAGTCGACGGGGAAACCAACCATGAGTCCAGCAAGAAGCAACGTCAGCGACAATCTTCCACTGCCACTGAACAACTCCCAGAAGTGCCATCGCAATCCTCGTCCTCGAACTCTCTTGAACCAGCTGTCAAAGTTCTTGGGAGTCACCGGCGTCAATCCGCTCTTGGTGTAGAACTCCTCAGGGATTGCTTTGTATCGTTTCTTCAACTTGGCTTGATCTGCCGTCTCGGGGATCATGTCGCCAGTGTAGCTGAGGAAGACGTTCTTCTCTTCATCATAGCTTGCCTCACGTAGGCCTTGTTCATCATGAATTGCCGGGGCCAAAATGGCAGGTCCGGCAGGGTGCTCGTTGATCAAGTGGTTTGAATTCTTCGCAGGCTCTTTGCTCTTGTCGTTCTTCATGCACTGCTCTGCCAAAATGGCTGATGGTGAAACTTCGTCCTCGGAGTCGCGCTCTTCTGCAATTGGTGATAGGCTCTTGTTCTTCTCGCTGTTCATGAGGTCGTAGGGCTCCTCGGACTTCTTCTGCTGTTCCTCATCGATGAAGTGAATCTTCCTGGATGGAACAGGATTCCGTAGTTCATCTTCTTCTCCATTCTCGCAAGCCAGATGATCACAACCAACATCATGATCTTGGCTCTTCATTGGGCCTTTGTCTCGTTCATGTTCACGATTGTAATCACACCGGTCATCCTCTGCCGCCGTCTGGGAATGGAAGCAGTGTCTGACCCGTGGTTGCACGTCAGGCCAAACTTTCGAAGTGATCTCGGTGATCTTCTGGAAGAAAGCGATGGCCTCGTGCTTCGAAGCTCTTGGAACCTTCTCGTTCTGAACGTTGTCACAAGGCAGGATGTAGTGTCCAGAATCTGTGAGCAGGATCCTGAAGAACTTCACGTGATTGACCTCTGCATCCATGGCGTCCTTGGTGTTCAGAACAAGCATGCCATCACCATTCTCGAACCAATCTGTCAAGATCGATGCACCCAATCGACGAAGAGTCGGGTTGCCAACCAGTGCTGGGCATAGGCTTCCAGCTCCACCAATGACCTCCGCCGTGTAGGTGATGGGTTGTCCTGCGGTCGCCATGGTCAACGTGACCTCTCCGAGAGTTGACTCGCTGTTTCCTGAAATGCCGGAAACTGGAGTGATCTTGTTGCGGTTGATCTCCATCTCACCCATGGAGCAACTCTTGAGCATTCTGAGGGTCTCGCTACCAACCAGCCCGGATGCAGCTCCGGGATCGATGAGCAAACCATAGCGTTCTTGCCCATGGATGGTATGGTAGCTCATCTGTGTCTCTTCTTTCTTCATGTTGAAGACCATGAAGTTCATCTTGAGCTTCTTGTCATAGTGATCCTTCGTAGTATACTCAGGCTGACCTGAATATCCCTCAGTTGGCTTCTTGAAGTCCTCATCCTCAGATGACGTGTGGATCACGAAGCTCTCGGTCTTCTTGGTCGTCTTGACCTCCTTGGAGCTTGTGGCAACTTCTTGCGGAGTTGAGGCATCAGGAATGCCTTCGCTGATCGACAGACCACCACGAGGCTTGTAGTTGTCCTCCTCCTGGTAGGCGTAGTAGTGGCCTTTTCGACCAAAGCCTTTTCCTTTTCCTTTGCCTTTGCTTCTCCAAGGATGCTTGCTCTTGCCTTTGCTCTTTCCTTTGAAGTTGGGTCGCCATCTCCAGAAGCCTTTTGACTTTCCTTTTCCTTTGTAATTGTGGCTGCCCTTCTTGTTCTTGCCCTTGCCAAGTGGACAATCTCGAACTCGGTGGAACTTGCTGCCACAGTTGAAGCAACCATCATCACTGCCATTGCCTTTTCCTTTGTAATAGGCTTCGTTGTACTCGCCCGAGACATTGGAGTCGCTTGCTGAACCAGATGTCATGCCAGCCTCTAGGTCCACCTCTTGCCATGACTCATCGCTGGCATCATGGTTCTCATAGTAGTTCTCGTCGTTGGCGTACTCCTCATAGACCCATTCACCTTCATCGGCCTCTTCATAGCCATACCACCATGAATCCTCGGCCTCATAATCATCGCCCCAGTCCTGGTAGTAGGCGTCGTAGTCGCCATAGGACTCATCATTCTCTTCATAGAGGATCTGGGCGTCATCAGGTTCTCGCCGATTAGGGTTGATGCGCAATGCCAGAGCTCGAGCGTCGTTGAAGCGAGTGTAGTCGCCAGCAACCTGCAGTTTGATGTCATCAACCGTCTTGGATGGCAAGCCAGAGTTCTTGAACCATAGGAAGAACTTGCCAACATCGTTCAACTGCAGTCCAGCTCTGTCATGAGCATCATCGTACCGGCTGTCGAACTCGACGCTGTATTCGGACAGGCTGAGCTTTCCTCTTGCAAGGCCAAAGAACTTGTCCAGTGCTTGTGTCGCCAGATCTTGATCTTGCTGACCGAACGCCGTGCGGAGTGCGTTGGCCAGGAATTGCACTCCTGAGGGAATGTGGTTCTGGATGATCACATTGGTCGCTGGGTCGCGGACTTCATCCACAGCTAGTCGAACCAGCGCTGCATCGCCGACATCGAAGGTGCCGTCTGGCCTTGGCGCTCTCAGGGACATGGCGATCGTGGATGCTCGACCATAGAGTCGTCCAGCCACCAGTGGACCGATGGCTTCATCCTCCACATTGGCAATCCGGTACCAAAGCTTCAGCTTGTCGAAGTAGGTCCTCAAGGGATACGAAGCATCACCTGGAATCCAGCCCGGCGGAATGTCCCGCCGATATTCCTGGAGCGGAATGCTCCCAGAAGTGGGTGGATTCATAGTCCAGCAATCTTGTAATCAATGGAGTCCACGGGGCCTGTGATGAGGTTCTCAAGGATGTAGTATTTATTCCTCTTGGGTTCAACCCCAAGTGAGGTAGTTTTCTGTGTTGTTTGTTCCTCTTGGGTTCAACCCCAAGTGAGGTAGTTTTCTGTCCTCGTCAGAGCCTTCTGACCTTCTCTCGCCACCGACCGAGCAGGATCTCGATCTCCTCCTCCAAAGGCCCTGCAGACCAGAGCCTACCGCGCAACTCGCGGTAGCAGCCAAGCCGAGCGCCAGCAGCCTATGGCGGCGCTGGAAGGATCGGCAACGGAGCACTAGGCTCCGCTACCAAACTCGACAGATTTGTGCCCAAGGCGCCTGCGGTATCGTGTCATGTGAAACATGTTCTACACTTGATCATAGCCATAAGGCCGTGAGGCATGTCTGCACAATTTCACTATATATATATATATCATTATAAATCTGTGTGTCATATGCAGTTCATTTGCAAGCAGTGCACCTTCCTTGATGGACAGCCTTGGCGCGCCACCGCACGGCGGCTGCTTGGATTTTCACCTGGCCAGACCCAAGTGATCGAGCACTGATCAACGGAGGTTGAAGATGATGAAAACGATAACCAAGAAGAAGGAGATTCAAATATTCTATACGGAGTCACGTATTTTACGAAATGACCCAAAGACGGAGCACCCATCATGTCCTCCAATGTTTGTGCACTGCGTTGTTGGCTGCGTTGGCTTCATGTTTGCATTCATCCTGCAGCAGCTTCCTCGACCCCCCAAGAGGAACAAAAAGAAGCAACAAGTGCAACAATTAGAGTACATTTAATATACATGTGTATATGTATATACATACATATATAATATACATATATATGTGTGTATGTTATGTTGTGTGTGTGTTCAATACTAGTCCGGACACGGAACACCAGAAGCACTTGGTTGAACATCGAACCATGTGCAAGAAAGAAACATAAATGCACACCACAATCCTTTACAATCATCTAGAGTAGATGAACATCATCTGACAAGTCCAATAAGTCCACAACACTCTGGATTGAAGACCACTCCAAAACCTCTTTGGGGCTTGGAACCTCCACATGTCTCTCCAGTGAAACAGCCCAGCCTACGTCAAAAAATCTGCATCTCAGCAGATGACGTCTCACCTGACCCCAGCTTGAGAATAATCGGATGGTCTTGCAGGCGAAACTTCGCTCCGGTGAAGAGGCCGTTTGTCTTGTTTGTTTGAAGTGTTTGTCATGCGGTTTCTGTGAGGCACTGTAGTCTGTAGTCGCACACCTTGACTAGCTCAAGCTTCATGAATGTGAATCTCTTAACTTGGCCCAACAAAAGGTGTCGCCCCAAGACCTTTTTGGCAGATTTGTCCCCAAAAATGTGCAGCAAACTGCCGGCCTGAAGCAAGCTTGATCAGCTTGATCCAGCTTGATCCTAATCCAAGCATCCGATGCACTAAGAGTGTGATCAGTGAGGGGATAGCCCCGGGATACTCTAGGATACTCCCCGGGCATGGCTTGAATTAAGACCTTGAAGCGTGACCAATTTTGAGTGTAGGATCGGTGAAGCTGCGCAGAAGACACACGTGGACAAAGAGCCAGCAACTCGTGTGGCTGATTTACTGATGCGTCACAGCGAGCAGAAGACCAGCAAGCCTTCCAAGCTCAGCGGCTGCAGGTGGCCTCACCGCAGCAAGACATCGACAAAATGTCTGAAGAGATGAAGGGTCTCTGCGCGAAAAAGGGTCAAAGGATTACCAGAATTCAAGAAGCTTAGGCATACAAATAGGCCCAGGGAAGCAACACACGACACCTCAGAAGCCTCTTAGGAAAGACAGGCTCCATAAAATCAAAATGTCTTGCCCGCAGGGATTTTTCACTGGTGTTCGAGTGATGCGTTGGGCTACGGCTTGCATCGGCTTGCATTCATCCAGCACAAAGCTTCATAAGCTCTTCTGGCTCTCAACTCGCTTTCGGAAAACACTCACTCCATAACTAGTTTTGTTTTCACATTTTTCTCCATATTTCCGAACGCTGGATGACTGAATTGATCGTGCGCTAAAGTTCGTGCTACTTGTCTGGCTTTGTTCACATGCAGGGATCGGGCTGCGAGGCTCCACATCCTGGCAACCTTAAAAGCTGGATATGACATGGAAGGATATAACCATGACAGACCTGAAATGACAAAAAAATTATATGGTTATATGTTATACAATTACGGTTACAGTTACTCGACTATTACTTGCATGACGTTGAACATTCCAAAAAAATGTCTCATTTGAGAGGACGTATCCTCGCCCGATCTGGTCTCGTTCCGCACTCCAAACTGCCGCAGTTCACAGCCGCGACGCCTCTGCCGCGACGCTGAGGTGACTCTCAGGACTTGGACATGACCAGCTCCAAGGAGGCGCCCGGAAGGCGCACGGCCAGCAGCTCGAAGGTGATGCTAGCGGCATCAGCGTTGATCCATGCAATCATTGTTGCTTCTGAGGGTTCGGTGAACGCATACTCATACTGGGTCTGGCGAACGACAGGATTCACTTTGAAATTCACCCAGACGGGCTCGGTGACACAAAGAAAGAGGTAATGCGACCCGAAGGATTTTTTGGTGACTCGCAGCCAAGCCTGGACGGTGGACACTCCAAGCGGGAACTTCTCGCTTTCCACCGTCTGACCTTTCGCAAAACCACCAAGGTTGTAACTTGACAAGTCCCACCTCATTGATTTGATGGGAACTTCACGGAGCTTCTCGAGCTCTTTGCACTTCTCAAGGAGCTCTTGGCACGTCTTAACAAGGCCATCGCATCTGTCATCCAGGCCATCGCACCTGCCATCAAGGCGCTTGCACTCAACATCCATCAAGTCACTCAAGCCCTTGCACTTGCCCCTGATGGCACCAAGGAGTTTGCATAGCAAGAAGGAAGCACGGTCATTGGTGCGGTCTAAATAGTGTGCACATGCGATGGCTTCGTGACTTTCATCCTCTTTCCCATTGGCAGCAAATAGTTCTGCGGCAGCAACAGCTACTCGAGCACCATCTGCACGTCGGTTGGCCTTGTCAAGCATGTTTGCGAGCAAGCGCAGCTGGTCAGCAGCCAAGTCCTTCAAATGTCTCTCTTGAAGGGATAGAAGCTGCATCACATCTCCCGGTATCTCATCCTTCTTCTCCAAATGAAGCCTGAGAAGCAATCCTTCTGTATCACTGTTGCTGTCCACACTTGCATCTTGCCGCAACAAAGATTGGCAAAGCTGCTCCAGAAGAGCATCCCGGACGTGTGCATGAGAGGCATCAATTCCGTGTGCCTTCATCAGCAAGTTCAGCTTTTCCTTGCGCTCGTCATCATTCAGGCGAGAGGCGAGTTCAGCGAAAATCAAGGCAGAACTCTTGGGTGGCCATTGGTCTAAACTTGCAATGCCAAGGTCTGAATTGAAAAAGCCCCGGGCGCAACCAAGGGCAGCTCCTTGGTTGTCAAGGTAAAAGCAAGCCTTGCGGAGCAGTCTCGTGTCAAGTTCTTCAAGCTGAGCTCTCAGGCTGCCATGGAAAGTTGCCAGCACCAAGGATGCTCCATCCGCGCAGCCATCATCCTCATCTTGGGCATCTTGCCGAAGCAGGTCCCAAAGGAACACTACTACATCTTGAGATTCATCCGCCTTGCCATTGGCAGCAAAGAGTTCTGAAGCTGCAACAGCCACCCGAGCTCCATCTGCTTGTCGATTTGCTTTGGCAACCATCTTTGCAAGAAGCAAGAGCTCATCAGCAGTCAAGTCTTTCAAATGTCGCTTTAGAAGCGATAGCTTCCGCATCACTTCAGCTGAAATCGCTTCCTTCGTCTCCAAATGGAGTTTCAGCAGCAATCCTTCCATGTCCTTGCTTTCAATGCTGCCTTGGACCAAGACATGTTGGTCAAGCTGCTGCATCAAACTACACCGGACGTGTACATTGGTGTCATCAATGCCATGCGCTTCTAGAAGCAGTTCCAGCTTCTCTTCATGTTTGGAATCATCCAGGCGGGAGGCAAGTTCAGCAAACATTGAAGTAGAACTCTTGGGCGGCCAGCAGTCCAAGGTCGAAATGCCAAGGTCGGTATTGAAGAAGTCTCTGGCACATGAAATGGTCTCCTCCTGGTTGCTCAGACAACTGCAAGCCTGGCGGAGTAAGATCGAATCAACCTCGTGAAGCTGAGCAGACCACCTGCTGTGATGGGTCGCAAGAACTAAAGCTGCGGCTTCCAGCCATGTGTCGTGTTGATGTCCTTGATGTTGGCTGAGGAAATGGATATGTTGGCACAGGAAGTTCCACAAACAATCTAAGCTCTCATCTTGCTGATCTGTTACCCATGAGCTTGCCATTCTGCGAACAAGCTCCTTGCTGATTACATCATGGTGAGGTCCGGGCAAGTGTAAGGACTTCACCATCTCTTCGTCAACTTGAGACAGCAAGCTCAGAGCTTCGTGTTCTGTCATTCCCGCAAGCAACTCTTGAAGGCTCGCAGTGTCTCTGATCTCCAAAATCAAAGGCACAAGTTCTTTCAAGACCTCAGCACGGTTGATGCCCGGCAACTTGCTGCGAAGGACCAGCAATGACACCAGCTTCTTCTTGGCAGATACATCTGGCAAACACGGCCTGACGAATTGCTCACCTTTCAGAAGCAATTCTACCGCGTCCTCGCTCGGTAGTTGTGAGGCCACTGACAGAATCTCTGCCACGGATTTCTGCTTGTACTCGACAATGGCCGACTTCATGTGCTGATTCGGGTGGAGAGCCTTCGGTACAGCAACACACACGGTCAAATACAGTGCAAGCATTGCTGTCGATGTGACAGGTTTCGACAAACGACTGATGTTTGTGAGCACAAAGGTCGTGGTTTCGTGGATGTTCCGATTCCCAAAAAGGAATGGTTTCAATGGGTACACCCTATTGGGTGTCATAGTAACATGATCTTGGCAAAGGTTCGGTGAACTGACAGCTTTCTCTCCAGGGCGCCTG